ACACACACACACACACACACACACACACACACACACACACACACACAGCACCACCTGTCTCTCGCTCCCTCTCCACGGCGCTCCCTCCTGCTTCCTCTCCCCTCCTGCTGACAGGGAACTCTGGCACCACTTGCTCCCTCCCGGACCGTCTGTACACTCCGCTCCGCTGCTAGAGCTGCTGAGTGCCGGCCACTCGTGACGCCACGGGGCAGCAGATAGGCCGGGGTGAACCCGGGAACCTGGCAGGGAAATCAAAGTGCTCTCAGTGAGAGTGAGTGGTCTAGCTATCGAAGAGTGGCTTCAAGCTCTGGCATGCCTGGCAGATAACGGCTGACACCTCCCTGACCCCTCTCTGATGTTCCTGTGGCTGGAAGAAAGCTGGTTATGTACGCAGGTGTGGTGTCATTCAGAAACACACAGTGCAGTCACATATCACACCAGCAAACATTTAATTCAAACGTAATATACAGTTGTGTGAAAAAGTGTTTGCCCCCTTCCTGATTTCTTATTTTTTTGCATGTTTGTCACACTTAAATGTTTCAGATCATCAAACAAATTTAAATATTAGACAAAGATAACACAAGTAAACACAAAATGCAGTTTTTAAATGAAGGTTTTTATTATTAAGAGGGAAAAAAAATCCAAACCTACATGGCCCTGTGTGAAAAAGTGATTGCCCCCTAACCATAATAACTGGTTGGGCCACCCTTAGCGGCAACAACTGCAATCAAGCGTTTGCGATAACTGGCAATGAGTCGTTTACAGCGCTGTAGAGGAATTTTGGCCCACTCATCTTTGCAGAATTGTTGTAATTCAGCCACATTGGAGGGTTTTCGAGCATGAACCGCCTTTTTAAGGTCATGCCACAGCATCTCAATCGGATTCAGGTCGGGACTTTGACTAGGCCACTCCAAAGTCTTCATTTTGTTTTTCTTAAGCCATTCAGAGGTGGACTTGCTGGTGTGTTTTGGATCATTGTCCTGCTGCAGAACCCAAGTGCGCTTCAGCTTGAGGTCACGAACAGATGGCCGGACATTCTCCTTCAGGATTTTTTGGTTGACGGCAGAATTCATGGTTCCATTTACCACAGCAAGTCTTCCAGGTCCTGAAGCAGCAAAACAGCCCCAGACCATCACACTACCACCACCATATTTTACTGTTGGTATGATGTTCCTTTTCTGAAATGCCGTGCTACTTTTACGCCAGATGTAATGGGACATACACCTTCCAAAAAGTTCAACTTTTGTCTCGTCAGTCCACAGAGTATTTTCCCAAAAGTCTTGGGGATCATCAAGATGTTTTCTGGCAAAACTGAGACGAGCCTTTATGTTCTTTTTGCTCAGCAGTGGTTTTCGTCTTGGAACTCTGCCATGCAGGCCATTTTTGCCCAGTCTCTTTCTTATGGTGGAGTCATGAACACTGACCTTAATTGAGGCAAGTGAGGCCTGCAGTTCTTTGGATGTTGTTCTGGGGTCTTTTGTGACCTCTTGGATGAGTTGTCGCTGCGCTCTTGGGGTAATTTTGGTCGGCCGGCCACTCCTGGGAAGGTTCACCACTGTTCCATGTTTTCGCCATTTGTGGATAATGGCTCTCACTGTGGTTCGCTGGAGTCCCAAAGCTTTAGAAATGGCTTTGTAACCTTTTCCAGACTGATAGATCTCAATTACTTTGTTTCTCATTTGTTCCTGAATTTCTTTGGATCGCAGCATGATGTCTAGCTTTTGAGGATCTTTTGGTCTACCTCACTTTGTCAGGCAGGTCCTATTTAAGTGATTTCTTGATTGAGAACAGGTGTGGCAGTAATCAGGCCTGGGTGTGGCTAGAGAAATTGAACTCAGCTTTCCAAAGATGTGATAAACCACAGTTAATTTATGTTTTAACAGGGGGGGCAATCACTTTTTCACACAGGGCCATGTAGGTTTGGATTTTTTTTCCCCCTTAATAAATTCATTTAAAAACTGCATTTTGTGTTTACTTGTGTTATCTTTGTCTAATATTTAAATTAGTTTGATGATCTGAAACATTTAAGTGTGACAAACATGCAAAAAACTAAGAAATCAGGAAGGGGGCAAACACTTTTTCACACAACTGTAAATCTGGCAATATTCCACACTGTCTGTCGTGCAAAATAAGCATCACTTTTTAATGTCTATTTCTGGCAGGGGCGTCGTTAGGCCTAGTTTAGGGGGGCTGAAGCCCCCCTAAAATGTTCTTCAGCCCCCCCAAATAATTTGGCATTATTGGCTTTAAAAAAAAAAAAAAAAAAACTTTTTTTTTTTGGTGATGTCATTAAATTAAACTATTGTTTCTCACATGGACAAGTTATTTATAACTAACATGCTACATATGTGCGTGCGTTCTGGTTTGTATGTTTTCTCCCCCTTCAAATTACAATCCAATAGCCATCATCATACTTAACGATATAAAGTTGACACTGTCAGGTCCATTCTCCATCCATTGTGTGCGGTCCCTTTAAGAATTAGGATTTGGGAGTGACGCGGATATTCTTTATTTAAGAAAAGTTCATATTTGCGTTGTCAAATTTCACTATGACCCTCAAATTCTGTCTCTTGTGTTATCATATACTAAATGCAAGCAAAACTACAGAGCAAAATCACACTCTTTCTGATTGAACCAATCTATGAACTGTCTGAAACAATGGATATCCGCTGCCCCAAATAGGCCCCAAAAAAAATTGCCGCGCACAAACATGCCACTCCCCTTGGGGCTAAGCCCCCCTTTCTTTGAATCCTAGAAACACCCCTGATTTCTGGTCATGGTGGGCTTGAGCCTATCCCAGCATGCTTTGCGTGTCAGTCAGGGAAACACCCCCGAACCCCCGCTATAACACAGATAAGAGGGACACTCACCTTTACACTTATGAGCAATTTCAGGTCATCTAGTAGGACTGTTGGCAGAAAGCAGACCACCTGAATGACTTCACACAGAAACAGAATGATGTGACACTGGCTGTTACCCACCATGCAGGAAGGGACTTCCTTTGTTAGCTTGAGCAGCAAAGTGTCAAATGTCTACTGAAGCTTAGTGATGTGAACAGACAGTGATTTTTTTTATTGTTTTCACCTTGTGAGTGTGTGTCATCAAGGCAAATATGTGGTCCTGGAGACACGTACTGTATCAGGAACTACCTGAGAAATTTTCCGTACTTTGCCAGGTGATAATAGATTAATAGGTTTGTGGACTGATTTTTTTGACGATGGCGTCACAACCCTGTAAGATGCAGTTAAAACACTTTACAGGTGTGTGGAGTTGAGATCAAAAGGAGGGCAGAGTTTAAAGGTGGGTGGGGTTCGAGCAAGGGCGCCGGATGAAGGGGGGGGGGGGGTTATGGAAGTAGGGAAGGGACAGATTTGGCAGCTGGTGAAATCCAATTGCAAGATAATCTCTAGTTTAAAAATATGTTTGGAAAATCGGAGCATGAAGCTTCACCTTAGAAATAATAGCTTGTTTGAATTTTAAATTAAGGTCCACTTACAGTACTTGTTATGGAGGATTGTGGCCATCAGTGCTCGTGTTTTCCAGAGATTTCAGCTGCATCCCCAGTCTTCATCAGCAGCAAACAACTCAGCAAAATATCTGCGGATGAAGGCAGTTGAAAGCTCTAGTATGTGGACTTACAACTTGTTTGAAATCTATTCAAATTGCCAGATACGTCACATATTAGCTCCTGTTAAAATGAACATAACCTTTGCTTAGCAGACACTACAGTAATCATTTTAATCAAAGGAGAACAAGAGAAAGAAAGAGGATAATTAAACAAAACTGCACTTTTTACTGTGGCATAAAAATTAAAATTAAAATCTAAAAAATTGAGGTCAGACAGAGACGGTGAAGAACTAAAACATCCTGTCTGCTGTAAATCTGTCTGCCTTAAATATTATGAGAGACTGAATTTAAATTAGATGCACGTCAAGAGAATTTTGAACTGCACTGCTTTGGACTTGAAGCCTCAATCAGTCAATAAGCACATTTATGATGGCTGGCATGTCACAGATGTTCAGTTGAAAATGAATGCAACAAAAACAAGGACAGGAGACATCAACATATAGACGCCAATCTCAGTGGGCTCAAAGGGGATTATCATTATTTTAAAGGAAGTCAATAATCACATTTTCTTCTCTCTCTCGTCAGAACCTTTGCACTATAGATTTCCCCACCCAAACACAGAATCATCATCAAAACAACACGTTAATCTCTGGAGACGACTCGTAATGGAAAGTATCGTGGCTATTTCCTGCTACAAGCTGTGCTCCATTACCGCAGCGCTCCGATCTAACAGCAGACATCCTTGGAATCACCCCAGAGAAACTGAGACAGGCCCATCAAGCCTCTGCTGTAAGGACATCTTCAATATCCGGTTCACTCCCTCGGCCAAAGTCAACGGTAGTTTACGCTGAAAACACGCACGTCATCACAATTGTCTTTATGTGTTCCCTGAACTGCCCCTCTGCACTAACACTGCTACACGTTCTGCCATTTTATATGATGTACTGCCGGTATTTTAGAGCTAATTCAGAGCTGCCACAGAGTCCCAGCTATTGATTGAGACACTTAAACCCTCAACACCCATGAATCCCCCCATGACGACTCCTTAGTATGGAGCTCAGCTCATGTAGTGTAGCACTTTTTTTATTTCTCAGCCGTGCGTCAGAGGTTAAGTTGTGAAATGTTATAGGCCTATGTGTTAAGTATGTGAGATCCTGAGAGCTCTGCCCTTGAAAACAGGCCTTAAAGAGCTGAGAGGAGGGGAGACACACTGGGCCGACGCCTGCTGGAGGAAGACCTTGGCATTTAGATGGTGGCAGGTTCAGTGTAAACTTTACAAAAAGTGAAAGAGTCGCTTCTTCAGCTGAGGGGAGAAAAATAAGGTTAAATACAATGGAAATTATGGTTTTTAAGGGTGATGTGAAATACTTTCTTTTAGAATTACACAAGAAGATCGATATCGCTCTCATGTCTACAGTAAATGTGACACTAGCTTAGCTTAGCATTAAAGTCCTGCACACACTGGGAATTAAAACGGCTAAATTTAGCAGATGAATAACCACAATCAGAGGATCTGGAGGCAAAAATAATGAGTGTGAATCTTCCTCTTTAAGTTCAACTTTGGTGAACAGTAACAATAATTTGCAAAGTTGACAAACGGCACCAAACCTTTTAGGTGACAGAGAGCATGAGTCCACAATAGAGGAAGCTATCAGCACCGTGTAACTGTTCTACAAAAGAGCAATGGTTTGCAGACAGTTACAAGACAAGAATTTATGGTATAAATATGTTGAATCTTTTGAATAATCTGTGTGAAATTCATCGTCCCCTTAGCTATGCTAACGAGCTATGCTAACAGTCAGTTAGCAAGCTCGATAGCTCTGACAACTTTGTTTTTATAAGCAAAATGCCAGGGGGAAGTCAACAGTGGAGAGAAAACAAAAAAGAACCCAGAGAAGCTATTGTGAGTGACTGGTGCTGCTAGCCCGACCAAAACCAGCATTTGAGTTACACAGTCAGCTAGCCAGGCAAGCTAGCTATTTCCCTCTGGTAAGCTAAGCTGCTACTTGCTTCATATTTAGAATATACAATTCAAAGTTGTAATTTCTTACCTAACTCTCTGCAACAAAGCAAAAAGTGCATTTCCCATACTGTTAAACTACTCTTAATACACAAAACAAAAGTTTTAGTTTTCTGGTGCTGTTAAAGGTCGGCATTCATTTGAAATGTCTGTAAACACGAAAGGAAACCAGGTTATATTATCAATTCTAATCATGTGAGAAACACACAAACCTTTCATTTTCAAACTTTTACATTAACACACTGTGTGTTTGTGATTATACCTGTAAATTCAAAGAAGAGTTCACTGTAAAGTCATTATGCGATTGCTCATATTTTTTCTTCCAAAATAGTAAAATAACTGATGAAAGTCACAAGTCACGCCTCGTGCGCGTCATAAAATATGAGGAGCATCTCCATGTGTGTGGCTCCATGCAAATCCTCTGAAAACCTACAGTCTAATCAGCACACTAGAGATTATTTCCATTTCATTACATTGCCACTCAGCCAGCTTTGTTTGGCTGAGTCTACGTTTGCCTTTGAACATCAACGGCACCTTTTGTCTGAAACTGCTGTAACGTTTCCAGCAATGATCAGATAGCACTTCTGCTATTTTTACTTCTAGTTGCGGCACTGGCCCAGAAAAATAAGATCCGAGTTGATTAGTGAAGCCTGCGAACCCTTTGTGGTGCATCTAAAAGGACGCCTTCATCTCGCGACACACAATAGAACTGAAATATGCAGATATTACTAAATAACAGGCTCTCATTCATCCTTTTTAAGCACACCAAGAATACCAGCTATTTCTTTGAACAAGGAGACATTTTAAGATACTTTTATTTTAGGGCAATTGTCAGTCACTCTGAGAAGGTGAGAATCAAGAGTGCAACGGGACACAATGCAGGCTGAGATCTCCCATTCCTCTGAGAGTCCTGTATCCCACGATGTCAGTGTGTGTCTCATTTCCTCTCAACCGTCTCTTCTCCAGACAATGCTTAAATATTGTGTCAGAGAGCATCCTGTCATCCAGTAAGTGATGGACTCGATGATCGGGTGGGATAGTCGCAGAGGTAGGTCTTCGCAGCATGAAAATGCACACACACACACACACACACACACACACACACACACACACACACACGCACACACACACGCAATTACAGCTCGTAGGTGAAAAAGGTTATTGAGCAGCAGAAGTGCTGAGTGATGGAGTCCGTATGCCTCATGCGCGCGCACACGCACGCGCACACGCACACACACACGCACACACACACACACACACACACACACACACCTGAATATGGTCATTATAAGAGGTGCTTTTCACTGATTGAAGTCTTAACATTCCCATCCGGTGCTGATTCCCTCATCATTTCGCCTGGATGAGTATCCCGTCTTCCCGTCCTCCCTTCCCTCAGCCCACTAGTCAGTTAATCAGGTGAGTTCACAGTGTGTTAGCACTCTCCAGCAGCTCCAGCCAGCCTGCGGACCAGGAGGCGGGCAGGGCGCGGCCGGATCAATGTCCTGATGTCTGAGGGAGAGAAAGCCAGCCGAGACCCGGGGGCATGTAGCATCCCTCCCGGCTGGACTCTGTCAATTCCACTCATCTCCCTCCGCTGACTCGGACCTCATGAGTCTCTCAGCTGAAGAAATAAGTGGACTCTTTCACCCGCTGGAGATCAAAATCACCTAGAGAGGCAAGAGGCGAGGTGTCAGAGCAGGTTTAAGTTTGTGGACAGTAGTTACAGAAAGTAAAAGAGTCAATACATTAAAAAGTTTGAAGTGATGTTGGAACTAGAGGAAGACCGACAGACCATGACCATCAACACTGTCACTGAGAAAGAAGATGCACTTTTGTAAGGTTTCAATTCATGTGAACTCTTGAAAATGAAATGATACATCTCATATTGATTTAATCTGATACAAAATGCATTTTTGACAATTTGATTAATCTTCTATTTGTTCATTCTTCAATGTGGTTAATGATTCAATTAAGGAAACTGCTAAGAACTGCAGGATGTTTGTAGGATGTAGTTTGTTCTGAGATATAGTCCAGGGAAAAGACTCTTGAACTTTAATATTAATCTTGGCTCTGGGATGAGGCCCTGTCCTCTTTGCCTCTGTGACAGCAGACGACAGCAGCAGAAGCTGAAGCCTGAATTATTGAGGAAAGGCCATGAACACTTTAAGAAGAACATTATGTCGATATGAAAGCTTAAAGTAATATACTGAGTAACCAACAGTAATATTTAGGTTACTTGTCAAATCTGTTAATATGCTTATTAATATACAGCCAGGAGCTCCAAACTTTAATCTAATCCAAACAGTATGAGGTTGTACTTTCTATCTTGTATTTTTATGAAGTTACTGTGTTTTGTGTAAGAATATTATGTAATCATGGTATCACACATACAGACCATGATGACATACTGTACTGCATTGTGTGATAAAGAGTAGTTTTTCTTACCTTACCTTCTTCATATAAAAAAATGCCAAAGTAAAAATGTTGGTATTCAAAAGAGAAAAGACATGAACTTACAGCTTGCACTACTCTAACTTCCTTATCGTCATTAAAGTCAGACCCTCGCTGTTGAAACACAGTAATGGCTTTAAGTTATTCAGTGAGCTCTCCAGACCTTGTTCTCCCTCACTGTGGTCGTAGATGCACCTGATTCATCTGAACTCCTGCTGGATTAAACACAGTGAAACCCGATTCACTTTATAACAACTTCAGGATCCTTCATAGCGAAGATTATAGTCGATTTTAGTCTATGGAGAGTCATACTGAACAGTGAGCACCGGTAAACACAAGGACACACAGGCAGCCCACAGGAGCCCACCTGACTGGTCTCAGCCGTATAAGCTGATTATGCAGAGGAGGGACACAATTAACAGTAATCAATTTATACAACCCAGCTGTCGGTGCCAAGCAGACAGTAAGTGTACAGATGGAGATTGAGCGAGGGGTTACGTAACAGCAAAGCCTCCATCCAGCTGACTGACAGAGAGAAATGCTGCCTCTCTACCTCCACTCTGGACAACAATAGACAGACACTCGCAGTGGCGTCCAAAGAGGCTAATCTGGATCTGCTAGTGGCCAAACATGGCAGACATGAATACACCCCTGACAGAAGCTGAAAATTGTTTTTTTTTACCAAAACTCAGTGGCTTTTTATATTTGAATGAGCAAGCTAAATACCCTGTGTGGGCAACACAGACAGCAAGACAACTAGCTACAGACAATGAGATAACTATATAAACAATAGGCAACAACAATTAGCAATTATAAACCGGGATAGAAAATACAAGGATTGCACAAGAGCCCAATTCAATAACATTCCTGTCGTTTTCTGCTAACCTCAGAAAGAGCTTCAGGACATACAAGTTCACTTCTATCCAATTAGTAAAGAAACAGCATGCTGCATGTTGGCCCTCTCAAACAATAGCCCAGCCCGAGCGAGGCCAGTTGTTTGGGGGCCAGACAGCTGCATAAAAACTGACCTGTCTGGGGCACTTTGGCCAGCAGCAGCATCAGCCTCCTGTACTCCTGGTACTTCTTGTTCTTGGCCCCGGTCCTGTTACAAACCAGGACAACAAACAAACAAACAAACAAAAAAAGTTTAAAATAGGAGCATGTTAGTGTGTCTAGAAGTGCCGAGTCAAAGACAACAGCACTTTCTGAGTTTCAGCCCTCGTTCAAGTGGCCTCATCTGCCGACTTATTTAAGTAGTTAAAGCTCTGCAGGAGGTTCACACTTGGATGTCACATTCGAGCTGTCGAGGTTACACACGAGCCAGTGCAGCCAGTCATTGCCTTTGAATTAGCACATAATTCGTACTTCTAATGTGAAGTGCTAGAGGTGGCGCACCGCACCTGTCAATGTGTGAGATGTGACTGGTACACTCAAAAATAGCCAATGGAATATTTTACCAGCCACCGTTGTGCCTGTGTGACGATGACATAATGTAGAACTTTTTACAGACTGCTGGTACCTTAAAAAGTTGAAATAAATGCTCACACTGACAATGTAAATGCTGATGTTAAGCAGGTGGTTACCATCGTCACCGCATGCTAAAAAGAGCTAATCAGCGGTAAACACAAAGTACAGCTGAAGCTGAAACTAATGTCATTAGTTTTGCAGGTATTTGGTCATGAACATACACAAAAGTATTGGATAAATTAAAAATGTTGGCGCTAGATGTAAAGTTAAAGGTTGACCAAAGTTTTTACGATTCATCCTCAGGGGAACATGAATGTTTCAACCTAATTTTAGCGCAATCCATCAAATAGTAGCAAGAATCTTTACCCCCTTAACTACAAATGTCAACCTCATAGTAGCACTCGGGAAAAGGTCAGGGGTCACCAAAGTCAGAGAGATTCATCCTGTGGGGACCATGAATGTTTCAACAACATTGACTGGCAATCCATCTTATAATTGAGATTTTTCAAGTTGTGGACCGACTGACATTACCTTCCCGAGGAAAAACAGTATGGTTGTCACAATAAAATAAATGCTTCAAAATTCAAACACTTAATACATTGTAAGGTCTAATAAGCAAAAATAATCCATCTAAGGAAGAAGTTAAATTATAATCATATTTAACACATCTTGCTGAAACTGTAGGGAAGGTTAAATAAATCTATTCAGTTACTCATTGCGACAAGGGAAGGAATCCAGAAAGCCTTTAGATTCCCACGCGTCTTTCTCTCCGTGGTGCCTGGAAGAATGAATAATGCGTTCGCAAGGCTTAGGGAGCATTAATGTGCCTGTGAGCGAGGGAGGGAGACAGACAAAGAGGACCGAGGGCTGCTGTGGAGTAAAGGCTGGAGAGAAGGTGTCCAATTATCCCAGAGAGAGAAAAACACAGTCAGATGATGAGCGTAACCCAGCCTGAAGCCAGCAAGACAGATGTACTGAGAGAGAGAGAGCGAGCGAGAGAGGGGAAATCATTCTTGTATCTAATGTTTCAGATAAGCGGAGGAAAAACCCTGGTGTGCCAACATAACCTTTACAATCTTATAATGTCAAATGTGTGTGCACCTTCTGTTTGGACAGTTTTATAATGTATGTACATGTAGGAGTCGCATGTTCAGTCGATACCATAAAAGTCCACAAAGAGCCGACAGTGTTGTTTAGACAGACAGAGAGATAGACTGGTGGCTGTTATGTGAATAAGATACACAGATTGCAGATGGGGTAATTAAGGTTGAAAATATTACCTCATAACTATCACATAAGATTCAGCAAAAGATACTGTATGACAATAATTATGTGTACCTGAATAGGAAATGCTATAGAAAAACAACAGTTTTTCATCATCATAAACCTGAACGATAACCGACCACTGTGTTGCTCCTTAGACTTCATGTATGTACACGTATGCGAGTGTGTTCCTGCGTGCAGGTGTGTAAACTCACGGGAGCCCGGTGCAGTATTTCTGCAGCAGGAAGTTGGACAGCTCCTGAAGGATTGGCTGGCTGTGCAGGGCGACAAACTGTTCCCGACAGACCTGACAGGAGGAGGAAGAGGCAGAGAGAAGCGTACTTGGAGTTACTCAAACCCTTGACCGACAAGATTGAACACCTCTACTGTGGCTGTACGGAGAGGTCAGTGTGTAAAACAGAGGGTAGAGTGTGGATTTGATTTACAACGCTGCAGTGCTGACACACAACACAAAACCTTGAAGAAAGAAGGGCCATTCATTGTGCTGCAGGTTATCCGTGATCATACAGAAGAGGATAAAGGGCGTGTGAAACATGTATTTGAGTTAGATATTCCTGAGATCTAAACAGCAGTCTATTCAGATTACACTAAACATGACAGAAACAGACTTGAAGTGCAAAAAAAAAAAGCTGCCCAGCATCCGTGAGATGCATCAGTGTGAATTAATACATTTAATAAAATTGTTGTGAGTACTGACAAATACAGTTGTGTGCCTCCGACAACCAGTCAAGTTGCAGTTTATATCAGAGACTGGCCAAAATGTCATTTTATCCGCATATCAATTCTTATGTTATGAGCAGAAACTTGTTTTGTGGCCTTTGACCACCAACTTCTAATCAGTTCATCCCTGAGTCCAGGTGGATGTTTGTGTCTTAAATATAGACAGTAAATATATTCAAGATCTCCTATAGTATGGTATGAGTGCAAACCTCTCATGCTTGCTGTGTGTACAAGATTGACTCAAGGGAAATTACAAGTTTTTAATCCAAATTTTTTGCAAGTTTGTTGTTGTGTTGGCCGCATCAACATAAACAGTTGGTGGTGCTAATTGGGTGCCATTAAACCACTGTAGAAGAAGAGGGGGCAAAGAATAAAAAAGGATCACCAGATTAGTTTTCCTCAGGGCTGCTATGATTTCACTTTAGCCTAGCGTTAAAGCTTTTTTCTTTATAACATTCTTGCGAATTTTCAAGCCCTTCTAATGTGTTTTTATGTGCAAATTGAAAATGTGCATAAACACAGGTGGATGGAATTGCAGGATTTAAAAAGCATTGTGAGAGCCATGCACACACAGTAGCAGTGTGAGCTGTCTTACCGATAACACGTCTCTCTTCCGAACCAGTTTCTGTGCAAAACTATCCACAGCTTACTAAAACCCACGAGAGCTTTGTGCAGTTCAAACAACAACAGACACAATCTTCATGTTTATCTTCTCATTAGCTCTCAGTCAATCTGATGGTTTGCACACATCTCACAGTGACATCACTCAGAAACCCGGCTATACTGGCAGCAGGCAGGTTCAGAAAAAAGAGGGGGGGGGGGGTGAATCAGGATGAGGATCAGTCACCATTAAAATAAAGACCTTCTTGACGTGCTTAGGTGTTGACTAAGATATCGAATGCCCCTCTTCTGCCTCTCTGTTCAATTACCGGCGTAATGAGGAAAGCGTACGCACACATCAAGAGAATATGAGAGACAATAAATGTACTGAGAGGGAACTGCTTCATTGGTTGTAACTCCTCTGAGAGTGGATGAAGACATAAAACTGTGACTGTGCTCTGAAGCTACATCTACAGAGAACTGGGTCTTTATGGTAATTCGATCCATTTTATGCTACGCTGTGTCTCAGTCTGGGCATGTAGACAAGCTAGTTTCAGTCATTTATTCAGGCTCTATCTGATGGTGCTACCTGCAAGCCAGCAGCCTGCAAATGTATGAAACTGGGAGAATATTCAGTTTGTTTAACTGGCTTTAACAAAGCTGATGCTACGTTAGCACAAGCACAAGGGATGTTACAAAAAAAAGGAAATCTGGATGTAAAGGCAAGAGAGAGGCAGAGGATCTGAATCACACGTGCCACCGTAAGCTTCAATCAATCAGCAAAAAAAAAAAAAAAAAAAAAAAGGTAAATTCTAAACCGTGATGATAGACCGACAGGATGACACAGCTCTGAAAGGATGCTGAAGATGAGGAATGAGTGAAAAGAGAAAGGATGTACTGTAATGGGACACCTTGTTCATGGTGTCCACAGTGAGGGCGTGGGTCCAAAAGCAGTCGTGAACTGAGATGAACGTCAGGCCGGCACTGAGATGAGAGGAGAAGAGGAGGGGTGAAGGGAGTGAAACCAGAAAAAAAAAGAGCATTGAAGGCAGAGCAGACATTAAAAATGCACAACGATAATTACTAAATACCCTGGCGGACGTTCATTCAAATCATGTGTGAGTTCTCACACCTGTCAAGAGGCCCGGTCTGTGAATTGAGCTAACGTCACAAGGCATATCATACAATGCTTATCTGAGGTGATAATTGCATTCAAGATGAGAGGGTACATTGACAGAGCTATTTGAGGTCATGCATACGTGGAGAGACAATGTCAGAAGCATATTACAGACTGCCTTTATAAATCAAATGACACCAAGAGGAGAAAAAAAAGCATCTGTGTAATTTGAGGTGTTCCAGATATCCATGCTGTAAGTACAGTATGTTGAAGGGTACCTATAGCAGTGGAGAGCAGTCAGCATCATGTGTGTAGAGTCCAGAGAGTGAATGAAGTTTGGCGGGAAGGCATTCTTCTGTTTAACTGTGTCTGGCCTCCTGTGAAGGGACAGAAAGCAAAGTACAGACATTAGAATATGTACTTTGCTGCTTTCTAATACAACATGGGACGTTTCAGCCAACTTATTCCACACGACTGAAGTGGCCTCGTTACGAACTTCTCTGGTAATTCCCTGTGAGACTGTTAACAATCCTATATTTTGATTCCCTTTTTAGGTTTATGCACTAATCAGGAGACAGCGCATGTTAATAAGAATTGCATTAAAACCCCCTGTTCTTTGGAGGATGTTTTTAAGTCAGACGTTACAGCACATTTACTGGTGAGTGAAAGTGGTCGTGGCTTAGCGAGTACAGAGCTGTGGTTAGATATGGAGCTGTAGAGGACCGCTAGACTCCACAGACACCTCCCTCACACTCATTGCTAGATCCAAACACTAAAGTCTGACCTTTTGTAAATCACTTTGCCAGCTCCTGTAGCCCATAATCTAACAAGAGCTGTTTTATATGATGGGCCTGGTTATCTAGTCGCCTCAAACCACACGGTTTGTACACATTTATAAACAGCAAAGCTACCCCTCTGCCCTTGTCGACAGTCGTCGTGCTATGCTAAGCTAAATGTCTAACTCACCACCAGAAAGGTGCATGTTAAGAGTTACTGAGGAACTTTTATCTGATAATGAAACAGGCTCAGCTTCATCCGGAAAGAGGGGTTTTCTAAAGGGACTCCGGCGCTCAGGAACACTACCACTTCCGTCCACAGGGACCGCCAACATCAACACTAAATTAAAGTTCCTTGTAGTAGCTTAAAGTAAAAGTTTAACAGTTTTTTTCCCAGTTTTTTTTAATCACTTTTTCAAGGACAGAAGCAGGACTGTCACAATAACTACTTCTGTTAGATGATTTATTGTCCCAGAAGTAATTGCGATAAACAATATGGTCATTTTAAGACCATTTTATGCCAGAGATATAATAATAATACAGCAATGCAAATACACTGTCTGCGCAATCCCCAAGTCTTATAATGGCGGGAGATGCTTTTTATGGAAACACAACGGCCAATATCGAGGTCAGCAAAAGTGATCAAGATCAAGTCTATGTATTGTACGATAAGTTGATAACGTAATTATCGTGACCTAGTTAAGGCTTGTATTAGGAAGTCATAGTAACAGAATAACATGTGTAGAAAACAACACAAACAGTGGCTGCATCATCGATATTATTACTCACAGCTGTGCTTTCCCTGCTATGACAATTCTAAAGGACTGATTTGAAAAAGGTCTGTTTGTGCAAAATAGATTTCAACATCAATACCTATGTTCTGCTATGTGACCCTCATAGTCAATATGAGAGCACACACATATAGAAGTGACAGAAAAGCAACAGTACAAGGTAATATGAATGCAGCACTGCTGCTACTGGTGATGGAACTGGCAGTGGAGGGGAAAAAAAAGCATCCAGCCAATCTGTATACCATGTTCCCATTACCCTGAGCCTGTGCCATTCAAATCCTCTGGGCTGCCACAGACCAGAACGCTCTTCTAATGGGAATGGTGACAGAGCGGGGAGAGCTTGGGCCAAACCCAAAGCTAAAACACACACACACACACACCGGATGCCTGTCTGTCAGTCTTGTTTACCTTCTGTCCGCTTTATTTTTGGCTAGGGAATGTTAGACTTTTATCAGAGCGCCTTTAGTTCTGCTGTGTCGGGCTTGAGCTGAACAAAAACAAGATTCCTAGAGATTTATTTGCAAGCTCGCTCAGCTGTCTGCACTTAGGACGAGACTGTCTTTTGTCTTTTCCCTACATGTACACACAAAACAAACATGTCACCTTTATCTCCCGTAGGCGTGACAGGAAAGCAGCAAAGTCAGCACTCTAAGGGTTAGCGAGCACAGCTCTCTAAAGTGTAACTGTTCTCCCTATAGAGCTGATGGTTCACTTCGGTTCACAAGAGATGATGAATGTTGGCATAGGGCTTAGCATTTAATGTTGGTTTAGAGGCCCGGATAATCAGCCGTCCCCTAAAGACGAGAGGGACGGAGGAAAGAGCAAAGAGAACGAGGGCTTCAAGGCTGTCACTACCCCGTCTGCGACTATTTATATATTTAGAAGCTGGACGAGCTTTTTTAGGGTCCTTAATTACAGCGGGTGCGCCTGTGTGAGCTCCCGTTTTGCATGTGTGGACGGAAAAGCCGAGGAAAATCGACCATGGCGATTGTGTCAGGTTTGGCTCAGAATGTCAGCCTCTGAAACACTGACGCTTTCCTCTAACAGCGAATTTCAAGTTTCAAGCGAGACGGCCTTTCTGAGAGGCATCCCGCCCTCGCAGCTTCAACTCCCCTCCACCCCTCCCTGCTGCTCTGGCTGCTTTTTAAAGAGCTGGATCTGTACAGCGCTGTAGATGTCAGATTGAGGACGGCTGTCAGTCTTCGTCATATCTGTCTTCAGCGCTCTCACTCCCGTCTTCCCTCGACTTTCCGTCTCTGTCTCTTTTTGTCCTCCGCTCACCTCTATCAGTCGTCTCTTTTTAAACTCTATCTACACATTTTTCTCTCGCCTCCCTGCCACAGCAGTCATTCACTGATCCCGAACTAGCACGTATTCAAGGAACACCATAAATCACAGTCTGCATGTTTGATGTACAGTATGTTGGTGCCGTCTCATCTTAGATTCTTATTTTAGCAGTAATTTGATTTTCCAGTATGTGTTGTACCTCCATAATGAAGCTTCTGGACAAGAGTTTAAACTACTTGTTGAACTAATTTCAGTTTGCAAAGACCCATTTAGATCGCTTTGCTTTTAATGGTTTTCCAAACACCTCTGATGCCATTACCTACTTTATGACAACTGCAAAGTTACATCCAAGTTTGAGTAGGCAATTAGTGGAAATAGCCAGTGGAGAAAGAGCTTTTGTGCAGCTGAAAATCTAGTTTTTGAAAATGTAAGCTAATTGCCTCCAGAGAGCTCTACTTTCTACATCCATTCACCTCTAAAAGCTACACCGAGAGTTGTCAAGCTGTCTGCACTACATTATAGAAAACTGCAAACTCACTAAAGACACAAAACCAAGACAAAAAATGTCCTCCTCTCATCAGCTGTCTGCTGCCTTTGTTCCGGGTCACTAATATGACACTTCAGCACAAAATGTCAATGAGCAAGAATGAGAGAATAAAGAAGTTTTTTATCTGCTGTGGGTCAGTTTCAGTACGAGAGCAGAGAAACAGATGTTAGTTGCAGGACAACTTACTCTTTGGAGTCATGGCTGATCTGGAGGTTGATGTGTTGCATGGTACTCTTCAGCTGGAGAGGCAAAACAAAGACAAAGAAATGAGTGGGATAATCATCTCAATCCAGAAAAAAAAGGTCTTGAAATGTTTAAATGTCTGTGACTAGAACCCCAAAATATTCAACAACAAAGAAAAGCAGTAAATCACATGGGAGAAGCTAGAAAGGACATATATTTGGCACATTTGTTTAAAAATGACTACAATGATTTATCGATTATGAAAATAATAATTTTCTGTTGATCGTCTAATTGATTTATTGACTAATCGTCTCAGCACTACAAAATGATGTCATCTAGTCATACTGTCATATACTGGAAACACATTTTCCCTTTGAGGCAAACATCAAACATCAAGAGCTTAAGTCATAAAAATGCACAAGAAAATATAATAAACATTTAGAGTTTTAAATTGGACACTTTAACCTGTATGTAGGGTATTGAACGACATCTTGCAAAAACTGAATGAAGAAAAACAGCAAAAAATAAATAAATTTCCACACGATGAGGCATTCAATAATAGTAATGCAATTTGCAATTAATTAAATGAAATGCCCGGTTCATTACACGAGAGTCCCGTAACATTTTGCAGACCACAAAATCAACACAACAAAACCATAGCTGACATGAGTCCCTTCACCTAAAGGACATTTCCAAATAAGTAATCAAGCCAAACTTAAATCCATTTTTAATTTGTTGCCTCAGGTTGACTCATCACTTTCTCAACCTAATTGAAAGAATTCAGGGTGAAAGTCAATAAATTGACAAACGAATCATGCTTGATAACACATATAGAAGAAGATCTATAACCACCGTTCCATCTGTCCATCCCTCTTCCAGCTGCTTATGTAGGTCAGGGTGTCACACGGTGGCAACGTGAGGCCGCAGAGACTCAACGCAGGCTTCATGAACCCTGTGTGGTTCAAAGGTTCACCTCTGCTTTACTGGTTAAAAATAGCTGTGGTGGTCTTTGTAATGGCAGCTATATGCCTTTAATGGAGAATTAAACCCAGTGTCAGATAGATATTATATTTCCAAATGGGTATTAAATGTTATTATAATAAATGTTATTATTGTTAGTATTACTATTTTACTTTAGTATACTAGTATAGGAATATTATCAAAACAACCCTAATGACCAATCATCAGTGGAAAAGGCCGGACATATTAGGCACAGCACTATACTTGCTAGTCTATACACACTCAGAAGACATCAGGCAAATACCTGCCTTTGATCTCTGCTGTTTTCTTCATAGCATCATTTTTTTTTTTTTTTTTTTTACACGCTCTAAGACCAACACCAAAGCCTTTAGTTCCTAGTGGGGGGAAGACTTAGCGCTCTAATCTCCCAAACCTTGAGGGTCCATCCAGTTAGCTGTGCCAAAGCATCTGTGGCAGGGCAGTCTTTCCCTGACACCTTGGATCCGTGCCGGGGTGGGAACGACGGGCTACTACCAGGAGCGAGATATGACCGGCAGCAGGAGGCCAACGGCTCGGCAAGGTGACCATGAGTGCGTTTACCTTTCATTCAGCCTGAACTAATGTATCGGAGTGTCTCTTCTTCTGTCGCTCTGTCTGAACACGTTTTCTTTTTTCCTCACCGATGTCGCTTTGATGCGGAAACGTTTTGCGATTTCAATTCAATGATACTCGGAGCGCTGTACTCCAAAAAACCAAAGTGCTTTTATTGTGAAAAGTCATCAGACATTTCTACCATTAGTTACTGACCAGATTTACCCACAATAATATAAAGTAATAGAAACAAATCATTTCCTTTTGGGCAGCATGACTGCTTAGTTGTTAGAGCCGAGCCTTTCAGTGTGGGCCTTACATGTGTTTGCATTAGTTAGAACAGGCGGAAAGAAAAGTGATGGATTAACTCATACAAGTTGTTGGTTTGCTTTGTACTACCATTGACTGGCTCCGGCTGTAAACTCTGACAAATTTTCCAAATTTGTTGCTGAATAGAGTCTTTGAATTAAACTCCTTTATTGTCCGTAATACAAACAAATCCTCCTAACAGGAGTGCATGAGACAACAGCTGTTTTGACACCCTTAGGAGCCTTTAAAAACCGTGTTGGGTGCTAATGTACAGCTCTTATATTTGATCTTGCTTGCTTCTCTGTGGGATGAAGGACACAGAAGCCCTTTGAAGTGCACATCCCTCCGCAATCTGAACTAGTCCCCATTCCACTTGGTGCTTTTTCTTAGTCTATAATCACCTCCTGGAAAGCTGGAAACCACACATTTCATGTGGGATGCTCTCCATATTGCTGTTATGGTTTTAAGAGGCAATATCTAATGGGCCCTGATGGGGAGGTACTTTCCTTTAAAAAGGGGGAAAAAATGCACCCTAGAGCAGAATTACACAGTTCTATTTCAATGATTCAGTTTATTGATTTTAGTCAGCATCGACGAAAACGCTGAGCTGGAAATTGGGGCATCAAGAACGCCATTTATAATGAAATCAGGTGACACATTTTGAAATTGGTCCATTGACATATTGGGTCATATTGAGTGTGTGCGCTCACTGAGCGTTTGTTTGAGATATTACATCCTGAAGAGTGTATGAGTGATGAATGTAAGACATACACCATATCCCAGTAAAGTCGGCATGGGTGCCGTCAGGTTATGTAATAGTTTTTTCATTACTCGGTGTCTGCAGAGCAGCTCCAGGATTTGTCTCTCTCTAAATGTCTTCTCTTCAAGTTCTACACTACAAAGAGTCCACATAGAATATTGAACAAATGAAAACTTTGACCTGATGATGACGGTAGATGAAAAGATACGAGATACAATGCTATTGTAATTCGCCTCGAGGGTGGCTTGAATGTCTGCACCAAATCTAATTTAAAAAACACTCAACCTCGTGGTGGCGAATCATTAAAATGTACTGTCTGAGAGTGATAAATGTTTGTCCAAAATGTAGGCCAATCCATCAAGTAGATTCTGAAGTAGTGAAAAATTTGACCTGCTATGAGCGCTCGTGGAAAAGTCAGGGGACCATCAAAGCCAGTAGGATTCATGCTCTGGGGACCATGAATATCCGCGGCAAATGTCACGGCCATTTATCTAATAGTTGTTGAGATATTTCCCCCGACAACCGAAATTGCCAACCTCATGACGGTGCAAGAGGAGAAGTTGTTTGTTCAGTATGATTCATCCTCTGGGGACCATGAATACCTGCATAAATGTATCATGGCATTTATCAAATCCAATAGTTTTCGAGATATTTCAGTCTCAAACAAAGTGGTGGACCAACCAACCGATCCATTGAGCCACGCCGCTAGCTGTATGAAAATAGTATTAGTATAAAAATGACTCAAATGCATTAAGACATTGTTACAGATTACAATTTTCTTATATTTTATCTTCTACTTCTCAGAGTAGAACAAGATGGAGGTGCTTTGATGGGAATAAGACACAAAATATACATACTTTTCTGTCAATAATATTACTATGACAGCCTAGTTGTAAAAATGAAATATTGTAATTATTATATATTAGGGATTAAAGTTACAGGTGCTGGTTGAAAGTACATTAAAGCTAGCTTAAAGGAGCCTGCGAGCTACTGGGTTTGGACATTCCAGTCGAATACTTGAAGGTTGCTGTGTGATGAATGACAGAATCACACAATCAAGAAATGGCTTTAAAAGAAGCGTGGAGTGGTCCTGCCATGGCTGCTGTCTCATCCATCATTGCTCTAGGTGGACTTGTGGGTGGAATCTCTCCATCATCCTCCTCTTTACAGCCGCTGTTAGTGTGCTAACGGATAGGTTAGAAAGAGAGAACGCTGCGACGCAAAAAGGTGCGAGGGTGAAAGAGATGGAGGTTACGTTAGATGTGAGTAATGGACTGCCACACTGTAAATGAGGTCACTATCCCACACTAAACCCCTGTTCATTATAATGCATATGTGCATGATTTGTGTACACGACCTGGCTCAAACCCAGAGGCTGTGATGAATGAGACCTTGGCGAACACTGCTGTGTGTCCGCGGGGAATAGGCTTCTGTAGTCTAAATCACATGAGAGTGGCAGCACAGATGGTCATGGATTCAACAGCCATCACTAACCACATATACGCCGTGCTGCCAAGAGGGGAATCCCCATTCATCACATAGTGGTTAATAACACGCGTCTCTTCCATTGAAGTGGATGCAGTTTATTTTCTCTGCTGTTCCAGGTCACCTGGTCCTCCCCCTCGCCTTCTCCCCACTGAAGACAGCTGCAGACTCTTTGACACTGACGCACACCCCTGAAGCACACCCCTGAAGCTCGCCACACTTACACTGACCTTTTCCAAACCTTCTTGCTGTCAAACTTTCTTTTTCTTCCTCTCGGGGATGTCCTTGAAACGCAAACTGCATTCATTATTTCATCTCAAAATGGCACAAGATTCTGCAAGATCACCAAAACTCCATGCTACCCCTGGGAACAGCTGGCTTCTGTTCCACGGCAAAAGGAGGCATGGAGGGCATGACGACGACATTTAGAGATACCGAGTTCCCCAGAACTAGAAAAGCAGACTCTCTGTATAGAATTGGAAACTTTCTCCAGGCCCGTAGAATCAAAGGAAAAGTAGACCAGACAGAAGCGTATATCATCTTTTTGGCCAAGAGATGCTAAATGCCCACAACGAGACTCAAACTGACCAGCAGACGACCATAAAGAGCTGCAAAACAACCACAAAGAGACACAAAACAACATCGAACGGATGCAGAACTACAGAGAGTCGCAATCTACCAAAATAACTCAGATTGACCACATAGCAACAACAAACAGATGCAAAACGATCAAAAAGAAATACAAAATGACCACAAACTGTTTCTCTTCCAGTTTGGGTGTCTTGCTCCTATCTAGGAGCGGTGAGTTCCTGTTTTGTGTGTCTGTCCCCAGGAGACCCATTGTCTCATAATCCCTACATCATTAGGAAGATTGTTTTTTTTCTAACCTTTATTTAAAGGTATTAACTCTTACGGCTTAGACCACATCATACTAAACTCTCAATGTTGACAGTGGACCATATTGCTACTTGTACTGTACCAAAATGATTAGCACAATGCCAAACTCTCCACCAATCACAAGCAAAAAGCAAAACCTCACTGCATCTTTCCACACAGAGGACATTAGATAACTCAGCTTTTAGTCACGCTATAAACTCACAAATCCAGCTGACAACTCCCGTGTGTCACCATCCCCTGAGAGTGAGATCTCACTGTAACCTTGCATGGGAGGGGAGGATGAAAAATAAACATGGAATATGAGCCAGAGTGACCTCTGATCCAATTAGTATCTCCCAATCCTGTTAAGCAGCCTCCCTGATGTATGTTCAAGCTCCATTCAGCTACTCCATTCTACTTTAATTTCCATCAGCCGTGGAAAATACTCGACTACACTGGCCGGCATTCGTACTCATCTCCGTATGCACACGGAAAAGGACCAACAAACAGAAACGCTAAAAGATACACAAACATGAACACGCAATCTTTTCTGATTATGTGTGAGTGTAGCTACTTTCTCTCCCCTTATTGGTTTTCTGTTTGTGCATCACACTTCATCTTCCTGTTCTATCGAGAGTCTAATTACTAATGACCCCCAGAAACATTGTGGCCTTGGATTTAAGAGGCAGAGAGGAGACTGGGAGATTGAATTTAATCCAGCCACGCAGGGAAAAAGGTGACCTTTCTGCAAAGTTTAAATTGTTGTTGCCCAATGATGCAACTGGATTAGAGAATTATTGACGGGGATGAAAAAAAGTTATCTGTGAAATGTAAGCTAAAAACCTCATTCATCCATGAAGTTATCATCTCATTCATCATCTTTAGGCCTTGAAAAAAAACGCACATGCTAATCAGCTTCCTTGTCCCTGCTGGACATTAAAAGAAGCTGATCAAATCAAAGCAAATCGGCCTAACACATCGACACTCTCTCATCGAGAGAGAGATGCACCCTCAGGGGACCCGCCATCTGTCACCCTCGCTCTCATGCTCCTTCTTATGAGGTGTCACTGCTCCTCTAAGCCAACTGTCTGCTTGATGTCATTATAAAGAGCAGGCGGCATGCTGGGCCAACCTATCAGCGAGCTGACTGCATGTGCTGGGCATACGCTATATGTCCGTCTCTCCTTTCACTTAGTTAATGACCTTAAGGATATAAAGGGCAACATGGATTTCATATACTCATCACACATACACACACACAGAGCATGTTATCGGCAGATGTGCTGGCACACGGACGTGTTATCTCACAGACTCGTTACTGTCAGGACCTCCACAGTGACGGACAACTCTAGTGACGTTGTTGAGCTCCATTAAAGCTGAGGCACTCACAGCAATCACAATACACCATCAGCGGTGCACTCCCGCACCGAACCCATCGTACATTCCACCCGCAAGGCATCCTGTACTTAAGCCGTCATGATGGATTGGCTGTCTTGCATGTAAGAAGACTGAAACAATAATTATTTTTTAGAGAGTTGGAGAAGAAAAAGACAGAAGACTGAGGGAGGGGAATAAAGAGGGGGGGGGGGGGGGAATTAAAAGAGCAAACACAAAAATAAGAAGTGAATTATTTAGGTTTTACCTAAAAATAGTTTGAGGTCAACACAAAGGGATGAGTAGTGGACACAAAGCCAGACAACATAGCTTTTTGCTTTGAGGTATTAGTCTGTGAAATAGCTCCACTGAGCCCTGACAGGTAACCAGTCTACATGTTTCTACGTGTTCAGATAGAAATCCTGACCCCTTTTTGAAAACCTGGACATCCAAGTGAGTGTCAAGTGCATCCAGTCAAGTTCCCATTGACAAGTATCTATCTGTTGAAAACAGGCTGATCCAAATGCATGCAGAGTAGTTTGGGCCTATGCTTGTTGAGCCTTGCCAAAGCACAATGAGTTAAGCAAAATTTGTGGGCAGGCTACACGAGGACGACAGCTTGCTTCTCTCAGCGGCTCAAAACGATGAATTTTAACAAGATGTATAGCTCGTTATATGCTGACAGCTATTACACAAACTGATGTTCTTTGTGTTGTTATATTTGTGGGTAAATACTCATTGGACTGTTGGATATGCGTGTTAACCTACTGAACACCTCTGACTTAGAACCAACCAACCGACTCACAGCAAACTGGCCACCAATGATTTATCATCAGCTTCATCAGAAATTCCATCAAAGTCCAATGAAATATAATGAGTGGGAATTGCACTGTGAAATTATGATTATAGTCAAAATGATAATCCAAAGCATCTCACTACCTCGCGGAAATATTGGAACAAAAAGACAATGAGGGGTAAAGTTTAAAACATATTACACTATACCCGCACTAAGCTGGCTCTCACAGGGGTTTCCGTTACTAGTCGGTATGTAAACAGAATAATAAATGTCTACCGAGTCAAAAAGGTGTGTACAAAGTGTGCTATGAAGAGGTTCGGTAAGTATTGAGAATGGTATGAAAGGTGAGACTTACAATACAAATTATTACAACCCCCACACATACATTAAGCCGCAGGTGATGCGAGTCCCGCGATTACTTTTCAAGGAAATAGAAGGTTCTGTGTCTGTGTTTCTATAGCGGTCTGAAGACCTGCGAAGATTAGGCAAATTAGTGCGCTGATGTATGAAACAGGAAAATGACACGGGACGAGGGCTGCTGATGGTCACAGGGGTAAACACCAGCTTGTTCATCTAAAAAACACGTTGAACAAAACCAAACCTTTGTTCGCTTTTGTCTTACTGCGAACATAAATCTATACTTGAGTACTTCCTTGTTGTGTAAATGAAGCGGGACACAAGTTGAACCTGCGGCGCAGTGTGTTTGACGAATCAGCGACGGTAATCCCTGCTAACCCCACTCCGAAAGTTCCTGTGCTTTCAGAAAATGCTGGGGGAAACCGACCTTCATCTACAGTAGGTAAGACACCGAATTTGGATAAAGACCTCATTCCGCCCCACTTCAAAACACCCGATTTATCCCTTTAATTTACTTACCACTTGGTTGCGTGTGCGGTGGTAAGGCTGAATGATTGGTAAACCCAGGGGTGTCACCCACTCCACAGTGTGGCCAGACTTTGAGATGAGCCTGGCGCTCTCCGTCAGCCAATCCTGCAACACACGGACGCCAGCAGGGGGAGAGTGAGGGAACACACTAGAGCATACTATAAATATTCAAAGCCCTTCACCAATCAAGAGTGTGAGTCTGCCTATTTGTTATGTTTTGTTATGTGTGTGTGTGTGTGTGTGTGTGTGTGTGTGTGTGTGTGTGTGTGT